TCCAAAAGAATCAGAAAATGTGCAGGTGATAATTGGATTTTAAGAAGTACTGTAAGAGTTTCTAAACCTCACCATAAAATGATTCCCCCCCCCCCCCCAAATGTCAGGATACAGGCTTTTAAAAACCAAAATATGGGGAGAAAGGAAAATGTAAACTGTAGTTGTTTTCTTGCTTCTTGAATTCTTTTGGATGGTGTTGGCTAATTATAGATAAGTGAAAAGTTCATTTGACCTAGTATTTTACAGTTTCCAAGATTTGCCCAGAAAACAAAGTTCCTGCAATTGAGTTCTAAATCATGGTAAAAAGCAATGCCTCTTGCTCTTTTGTTTCAAGATGCACATTAAGTACTAAATTTGTTTCATCTTTGCCCCCTATCGCTTTCTCTCCAGGTTTGACAGATGATGAAGATGTTAAAGTGATGCTGCAGGGAACCTTTTTCTGGAAAGTCAAGACTTATCAACCCCAGAAACAAAGGCTGTTCCAGCTTCTTGAAGATGGGATGTCTATCTGGTTTGAGACTCGCTTTAAAAAGGCCCGCTCCAAACATATTTGTAAGTTTCCAAGTATTTACAAGTGTTTTATTCTGAATTTTATTAAATGTGTTAATTGCATTTGTTTAACCTACATTCTTATGATCTAGTATTTGCAGTATTTCTGGGCTAATCACTTAGAGAAATAATGCTGTTGCTAATTCCAGAATTAATAACTCAGAGATCTTCCCATCTTTAACATTCAATGTTGATAATCTCAATTAGTTGGAAAATTGATGTTGAGAAAAGATGGTGATTCATGAAATTTTGCATGGAAGAGGACTATAGTGATAGAGAGAAAAGGAGCACACACACACATCTATCTAATTATGGATCATGTATTATAAGTTTCCTTTTGATCTATGGCTTCAGAGATTTCCTCCATTGTGGGGGAAATTGTTAGCATAGTACTGTAGTGATTGTCTATTTGAGATGCTTATTGGAGGCTACAATCCATATCTGTGACAAGACAGAAAAAATCATTTTTTTTAAAAAAAATATCCTGGCTTTGTCTTTGACAGTATTCTTTTCTCACAGGTAATCACAGCTAAATTTTGTCTTTCCTGGGATTAATGTAATTCAATATAAAACTGTCATCAGATCATCACAACATTTTCATTCAAGCTTTTCTTGTTTGTATGCACCAGTTGTCATTTTCATCTTCCTATTTAAGTCAGATATGAAATGTTTATTCAAATATGAAAAAATGGAGCTTGAAAGCAGAGCAAAATTATTTTCATATCCTTTTGCAAAAGATTAATTATTTTTAATAAATTTAGAATATTACATAGACTTTGTTATACAGAGTAAAATATTTTAATAATCCTAACACATTTTAGCTAACGAGATCCCACACAAAAGCAACTTTAATTTCACATGGGTTATATTTCCTCACTATTTCCTTCTTTTATTGTTATAGTTTTTAGATGTTTTATACAACAGTTGTGAGTCTGGTAATCTATTTTGTATGAAGAAAATGAAAACAAGCAAACAATTACAGATTTAAAAGGTTTAATTGTAAGAAATAGTGCTCATTACATCTGAATTTGTCACTGTTGTTCTTTTTCTAAAGACAGATTGTCAATTCACAGTTAAATAATATGTATTATTTTTCTTAATACTTATAATATATCAATATTCATTAAATCATGAAGCCTTTTACTTATGATCTTTTTCTCAGGAAAAGAATTGTAGTGATAGACAAAATTTGCATCAATTTAATTTCTAACTGCCACACTGTTAATTGGGCAGTAATTAAATAAGGCTTACAGGTGATATTGAACTGTATCAAACATTCAGAATTTATGTAATAATGTATAAGGAGTTAAATGTTTGTTTTACTTCAATGAAAAGTTTCTGCCATACAAGACTTTTTAAATCTTTGTTTAAGATATTTACTTTCCACCTATGAATTCTGAAATGGACCACTATTTTTCCATGTGGTCAGAAGTATTTTATTAATGGCTCTATTATATAATGGATATGACATATCCATTTGCATTCTTGTTCTGTTTTAGTTCTTTGTTTCTGACTTACCTTTTGTACCTACACTGAAAACAATTACAATATTATTAAAATAGAAAAAAAAGGAGAGAGAAGCAGGAGAGGAATAGGTGGTCAATTATATTAAAAAAGAATTATGACTGAGGACTTCCTGATTCATGGCTTAGTCTGTTAATTTGTGAAAGTAACTCTTCCCATTCACAAACAAGAAATACTTGTACTCTCCTGACTCCCATATGAGTTACTCATGGTTGATTCCTCTGAGAACAGGGTGTGAGGTAGGAAGGCATGGGTTTATTTGTTTTCTTTGGACATTTTTTTAACTTGATAGGGGGTAGCACTGCCTTGCTGGAATACATTTTGAAAAATAGCTATACTTTATTAGGACAGGGTGAGGCAAGGGAAAAATGCATGAAGATTAAATGTGTTGAATTATGGCTTGACTGCTAAGTATAAAGGCTTGGGTGTAGGGTTATTTTGAAATACAAACTTGCTTGAGCATGTGAAATTACCTGTGATAATTGTCAATCAGATGCTTTTATTATCCATCTCTGTCAGGGGGTAACTCTCTAGGCCAGGCATACAGTCTTCTCATGAGGAAGGACCCAAGTGAGTGGTCTCACAATCTCTGTCCAGAAATACTACGGACAGCCATAATTTACCATCTGGTTGCTAATCTCTACTGCAATGCCATTCCCGGTCTTTCAGAAACATCAGCCATAAATCCTCACTTGGAAACAAAACTATTTCTGAAAATATTTTAACATAGGGTAACATAATAAAATCTTGAAAAGTCATAAAAGCAGTTTTCCAGATGAATTTATTTCTGATATAATTAAGGTGGAATTAGTTTCAAATGTTTCTTCCTCTCCTGAACTAAACCATGTTTTCTATGATCAGGCAACTCTCTCTAATAACATTTTTTTCTTTCTGTCATGTTAATATATGTTAACTTCCTATCACAGCTATGCAAACCCACCTTTCCTACCTTCCTTTGCATAAAATGTTGAGATTGCCTTACATTAATTATTCTCCCATTGTTTTCCATTATTTCCACTGTACTGATTTTTTTCGAGAGAAAATCTGAATCAGGAATATATGTTGAAAGACTGCATAATGTTTTTGATGTGTAATACTAAGAATCCTTTTTCTGAAATCATCACTCAGAGTCATTGCACCCACAAGTACTAATCAAAAGTAAATAATGCACTATATCATTTCCTTTTTTATGTTGCTATGTCAGACGTGGAGATTCAAATCCCCCAAACTAGGATTCTCAGAAATAATAACTAATTCACATATATGATAAGGTAGAAGCAAAGGCATTTGATAGACAGTTGGGAAATGTTGAAGAGCAAACTGGCCAATATGTCTAGGATTGGTTTCACTTGAACTGAAATGCTGGTACATGTAATTAATCAAATAATTATTAATTAACATGCTACCATCTCGTGGTTCAAAGTGACTCTGAGCAGCTTACCATGTAAAAGAACATACATATATAAAAACAATTATAAAAACAATTATAAAAACAATTTAAAATTACAAAATATTAAAACAAGTTTGCAGTGGAGAGGTGGTTGTACATTCTCTGTTAGTGGACCAATCATCTCCAGCCAACAGCTTCTTCAGGGCTCCATGCTCCAATGGGCACAACCAACTTTTAAGGTGTTTCCTGAAGATCAGGAGGGAGGGAGAAGATCTCACCTCCAATAGCAAGATGTTCCTAGGTGTGGGGGCTGTAATAGGAAAGGCTCTTCTCCTGGACCCCAGCAGCCACAATTACTTGACTGATGTGGTCTGCAGTAGCTCCGTTCTGCCAGTATGAGTGGGGTGGGCAAACCCATTGGGAAAATATGTCTCCTACAATGCAAAGGATTATAGAGCAGCAGTCCCCAACCTTTCTAGTTCCATAGACAGGCATGGTGGTGGAGAGGGGATGGTTTGGCACACACAGCCTAGCTCCCATACATGCACAAATGAAGTTTTATGCACTTGCCTGCTGCTTGTGTGCCCAGTTGCCAACAGGCCATGGACTGGTACGGGTCCGTGGCACAGGGATTGGGGACCCATGTTATATAGCCATGATCACAAACCTATGGGACACATGCCAGAGGTGGCACACAAAGCACTCTCTGTGGGCATACACCGTCACCAGCTGCTGTTCTGGATTCCGTCACACGTATATGCACCAGCCAGCTGTTGGTGCACCGACATGCACCGGAACCCATAAGAGAGCAGCTGGCCAGTGCACATGTTTGCCGGACTAGCTGTGCAGCACCATGTGTTTGACAGAACCCAGAAGAGCAGCTGGTGGCTTCACACATGCATATTGGTCAGCTGCTCTTTTTGGTGTTCTGGTGCGTGCACATGCACACTCCAATTTTAGCACTCAGTACCAAAAAAGTTAGCCCATCACTGTTATATAGCAATGATGTTCTGCAGATTATTTATATATTTAAATTCATATCCCATCCAACCCAAATGACTCTAGGTAAAGACAACAAGTTAAAAATATAAACTCAACAACAATATAAATCAAAATTCTAAAAGCAGCAGTTGCAGTAAGTCAACAGTAATAAGGTTCCCCCAAGATAGATGCCAATAAGATTTGGCTAGAATTAAAAAGTGGTGAAAATTATTCTAAAAGCTTTGAGAGAGGAAGTTTTAATGAACCACTTGGGGAAAGAGTTCTAAAATAAGACATCCACACAGGGAATTCCTGTTGTCTCATATATACCCTCCTTACTTCATAGGTCTGTCCACCGTGTTATGAGATAATTAATTCTTGCAGTATAGGGCTTGTAGCTCATTACCAGCTCTTGAATTGGGGCTGGAAGCCTCTTAGCAATCTGAAGCAATAGAGAAATAGTGGGATTGTGTTGACTCCATTCACCATTGTTGTTATTGCTTTCAAAGATGGCAGGTTTTTTTTTCTTCTCTCTTTTTTTACTTTCATGTTGGGCTGTGACTTTAGTGGCAGAAATCATTAAATTTTTACTTCATTTTTCAAGAGTTATTATTAATTTTTCCTCACAGAATAAGACTATGTCACAAGACAGATCCATTTGGCTTGGAGGGGAGGGAGGGAGGCACTAAGAATGCTTCCACAGGTAGTGTGCATTTTTAACCCATAAAAGGAATAATTTCAATCACCGTCTTCAAGAGAAAAGAGGATTGAAAAATTTGGAATTTCAGATTCCATTTCTTGTTTCACCTTTTCCCAAAACTTCTTGCCTTCTACTTTCCAAACTATAAGAACTTCTAAACCAACATTAGGAAGCCAGTGGCCTCTTGTGGATATCTGACAGAAGGGAAATTTGTAGTCTGTGATGAACTCTAGGGCAGTCTTTGTTAAAGTGTGGTCTGGGGATCCCCTCAAGGCCCTCTCAGCGTTCCTGTGAAATCATAATTATTTGCCAGCTGTTTGCAAGAAGATATTTGCTAAAAATTAAAACAACATAATTCTTTTTTTATTGGTTAAAATAGATATTTTCCATGAAATATATATTTATGTTAATATCTTATGGACTTAATATTGTTATTTTTATATTAATGAATAAACATTCTATGAATGTGTCAATTTTAATTTTTAATGTGGTAAAATGGATCAGTACAGGTAGAACAAACTTACAATAGTTTGTTTAATTACTGTTCAAAGTTACAGTGGCATTGAAAAAAGTTATGTAACGGTTTCTCACACGACCGTTGCCTCAACCTCATGATCATGTGATCAAAATTCAACTGATTCATATTTACGATGGTTGCAATGTCCCAGGGTCATGTGATCACCTTTTGTGACCTTCTGACAAAGTCCATGGGGAAGCCAGATTCACTTAACAACCATGTGACTAACGTAACAAGTGCAATGATTCACAACTGTGACAAGAAAGGTTGTAAAATGGGGCAAAAGTCACTTAACAAATGTCTCACTTAGCAACAGAAGTTCTGGGCCCAATTGTGGCCATAAGTCAAGGAGTATGCATATAAACCATATAAACAAAAGCTCTGCTATAATTTTTAAAAGTGGAAAAGGGGTCCTGAGAGCAAGAAGTGCAAGAAAGAATATTTGAGATAGCGTAACACAGAAGAGGTGGTCCATTTCCTTGGCTGATCAAGCCAATAGTCCTCTCCTAAGTTGGAGCCTTTTTTTCAGAGGTATTTAAAATTTTACTGATAAATGAGAAATGTTTGAATAAATTAAAGTGAACAAAATAAAACACATCCTGGTCTGATATTTGCCTCTTCTTCTAGGAGTCCTAGATTATTATTCCCATCCTGCCCAGACATCACAAACCTTTTTTCTGGACAACTTTTTTTCTTATGAGTTTTTGATAGGGTGGGAAATAAAGAAAACTACTTTATATCACAGCCAAACACTGCTTCCTCTACTTTGGACCCACCTTCTGTCTGCTGAGCTGGAATGATGGGAGTTGGAATTCAATATGGTTGAGAGGCATTAGATCACAAAGGGTTAATTGGCACTAAAGACATCCATTCTCCAGGGTCTCAGAGATTGGCTTTTCCAGCCCTGTGGTGAAATAGTATAGCAATAGCAATAGCAGTTAGACTTATATACCGCTTCATAGGGCTTTCAGCCCCCTCTAAGCGGTTTACAGAGTCAGCATATTGCCCCCAACA